GAACAAAATGTATGTCAAGTAGCGTGTTTTCCGTCTCTTTCGTTATTGCCAAGGCTGACATTGAATTATCGTTTAGAGGTTGCTCTAAAAGTATTATACTATAATATCTTGAGGAAATAGATGTAATGAGTTTTAAGTCGATTAAATTGGGACCAAAATTACTGATTTTTCTATCAACAAGTCCAACAAATGGTTTCTATGACAGCTGACAATCTTGGTTAATTGTAGGTGCGTCCAAGCAGATCCTAAACGCATTGCATTTGATGCTTTTCTGCAGATAAACCTATAGTTAGGTGCAAAATAAAATTCGAAGCAAACTTCAAAGTCAACTATTTTTGTGTACAGTCGCGATAATAGGTACAAGCATCTAACGGCCAATGGTACTGACTTCTTGGAATTTGCTAATAGTGCCTACTTGCAAATTTTTGAACATCTGCATAAAGGGAAGGTATGAATAAAACCTGGTCTATGATCACCAGTATGTTTCATCGATGAATTAGTTTGAAAATTCGGAGAATTCTGCATACATACAGTTTTATGCGTTGATCAAAAAAAAAATTAAAGAAATCCGCGACGCGTTGAAAATTATTGAGCAGCCTCCTGAATCTCTGCACAGTTTTTGATTAGAATCATACTTAACTCGCTCTTTTCCCTGATACCATGCCAGATGTGAAGACAAATTTTTATTCGCTAAATCGTCTCGAGCAAGATGCCTCATGCACCATTGTCGTAGCTTTCGACAGGGTTCTACAATTTTTGCTATGTACCCGTACAGTAAAATCTATAAGTCAAGGTAATATATAACAATAAATAACAATCTGTAACAAAAACTGCAAAAAAAATCAAAATCCTTTCATATAGTAGTCGATGACGGTGGAAAAGGCAGCAAAGCCGGCTGCGCCCCACATAGCAGGTTTTATCCCAGCACGTAGACCAAAAAGGGCTCCAACGATTGCTAAAGCAGCGTAATAATTGGAAAAAAATGCACGTTTTCCTTACCTCCAGAGTAGGTCCCGTTTCTCCAATCACTTTTCGCACGTACAGTCTCAAGTATGCATTCAGTACCTATAAAGTTTGAACCGGTATCGGTAAATACCATCAAGATAGTCCTACCAGAAAACAAGAATCCAAGAGTAGCGAAGTTCTTTCCGTATGACTTCATTCTGGAGCTCATTTCCTTCCATGTCTCCTTTATAGTCAGCTGAAGAGCAAAAAATTATTTGCAAACTAACGGAATTTACTCAAATCGATTGGGACTACTACCCAAAATTCACCTGTTTTGTAGGATCATTTCCAACCATACTCAACGATGGATCAA